TCGGGCTCAAGCGCTCCGCCGGCCCGCGGCCTCGGGCCCGATGCCGCGGCGCCTCGGCCAGCAGGCCCGCGACGCGGGGGCGCTCGCTGGCACCCTGCTGCGGCTGCTCTGCTGCAGGGGCCGCCGCAGGCCCGGCGCGCTCACGGGCCTGCGCTTCCCGGTGGCCGCGCGGGACCTCGCGGGGCCGGAGGGCGCCCGCCTCCTCGAGCAGCTCCTGCGCCACGGGGGGCACCTGCCCCCGGGCGTCTCCGTGCGCTCCGTGTGCGCCCGTGGCGGCGCCATCAGGGACGGCGTGAAGGGCGACAAGGCGGTGCTGCTCGTGGAGTACGAGGGGGAGACGGATCTGCCGCGCCAGTTCTTCGCGAAGTTCAACCTGCAGAGCGTGTGGTCCCTGCCGATGCGGCTCCTGGGGGAGGCGTCGGAGGTGTGCCGCTGCGAGGCGCTGTTTTACCACCGCCTGGCAGGCGAGGTCGCGGTCGGGGCGCCTAAGTGCTACTTTGTGGACTACAGCGACGTCACTGGCGAGTTTGTCTTGCTGCTTGAGGTGATCGAGTTTGGCACGCAATGTGTCCTCCCGCTGAAGCACCGCATCCGTGATGCTGCCACCCTGGAGGAGCAGTACCTGTTCGTTAGAGAGGGAGGCAAGATGAATGCGTCGCTCTGGGGCGATGGGCATCCATGTCTGCAGGGCGCTCCACGTTTCGACCAAACGCATCGCCAGCTGTGGGTCATGGCGCAACTGATTGCACGGCGCGGGCTCCACTTCACAGTGAAAAGGACAGTAGGCGGCAGGAAGGTCAACCAGAGGTTCATGACATGGTCACCCCCACCTGAGCTTGTCGGCAAAGAGGCGGACATCATCGGGGACATGCCTGCGATCTTGAGGTCGTTGTGCGAGGACAAGGACATGGTGGCGTTTGGGCACAACGACCTCACTACTGACAATGCGTATTTCATGCGGGGTACCGACGGGCAGTTGTCCTTTGGCGTGTTCGATTGGCAGCAGAGTTGTATTAACAACGTGGGCCAGGAGTGGGCGTGGAATTGGCATTTTTTGGAACCAGAGTTTTTAGAGGCCCACGAGGATACACTGATATGTTGGTTATTGCAGACATACAAAGAATCCGGAATAGAGATCTCTCGCGAAGCGTTCTTAGAGAGTTACGTGTTAGGCACGGTTCAGATGTACGTTTTCGGGGGCGGCGCCATGCAAATGCTGCTGCGCGCCTTGGACAAGCGGGGCCTGCTGGAGTCGCTACTGCCGAACGATCCGCGGTGTCGAGACGAGACCCTGGGCAAGGATGTCACCGAGCATATCGTGGGGGCCGAGATGACGCGCCGAACTTTTACCAACGTCTGCGGGATTATGCGGCGGCACGGCTTTGCTCGGGCGTGGAGCCGGTGGAGGGAGCGCCACGGCTGCCATGAGGCATCCTCGCGGGCCCGGGCCAAGGTCGACTGATCGGCGACTCGTGGACAAGGCGATCCCAGGGCGCAGCCCTCTTCCAAATGCAGTGGGCACCTGGGCGTTGTCATAATCTTGGCCGTCTGGGCCTCCTGGTCTCTCTGCTCCCTCTTTCCTGCTTTTCGCTGCTTTTCTTCCCGCCTCCCTCTGCTCCCCCTTCTCCTTATCGCTGTGTCGGCTTGCGGAGCATGGCCGGCTGGACAATTGCGGCCGTTGAGGGCCAGGACGTTCGACAGGAGCGCTCATTCGCGCGCTCATTCGCCCTCCTCCCCTCCGCCTCCCTCCGCCCACCCCTTGCTGTTCAAAAGCGCGGTGCCGATGTGTTGTGCCTGGTCGGCTAGAGCGGCCGAGGAGGCCCAGGACGCCCGGCAGGAGCGGACAACCGCCCTCCTCCTCTCCGCCCTCAGCCTCGTTCGCCCTTCTCCCCCCCTCCTGTGGCATCCTGGGGGGGTCCGTGCCCACGAGTCTGACCAGCAAAACAGGCAAACCGATCGAGACATCCTCAGCTTCTGTCCCCGCTCGGGGGTGAAAACGAGCGCCTCGCTCGAGACATCCTCGGCATCTGCTCCGAAAGCGGAGGATGTTGGGGCACCGAGCCAGGCAAACCGCTCGAGACATCCCCGCCATTTTGGCGCGACTGGAGGCCATGAGATACCCCTGGCGCCCCCCCCGTATGGGGTGCTGAAACCAGCAAACCGCTCGAGACATCTTCAGAATCTGCTCCGAAAGCGAAGGATGTTGAGGCACCGGAACAGGCACGCCACCTGAGACATCCCCGCAATCTGGGTGCGAACAGAGGCCGTGAGATACCCGTGGCGGCCCCCCCTAGGAGCGCGGAATCCAGCAAACCGCCTGAGACACCCTCAGGATCTGCTCAAACCGCTCGAGACATCCTTGCAATCTGGCCCCCTCTGGTCACCATCACCATCATCGCCATCACCATGACCATTACCATCACCATCACCATCACCATCACCATCACCATCATCATCATCATCATCATCATCATCATCAGCATCATCATTAGCATCACCATCACCAGCAACACCATCATCATCAGCATCATGCCAGCCATGCTCACCACCACCATCATCATCATCTTCATCATCTTTATCATCATCACCACCATCATTGCTCATCATCACCATCACCATCATTGCTCATCATCATCATCACCACCATCATCGTCATCAGTCATCATCCTCATCAGCACCATCATTTTCATCATCAGCATCATCATGCATCATATTCATCATCATCGTTGCCATCATACTCAGTGAGAGCGTCATCAGGGGGAGGTGAAGGAAGGAGGGAGTGTGGGAGGAAGGCCCGCGCGGTCACAGTAATAACAATGACCCCATCCTTGGGATATGGAGAGCAACACATCTCATACCATAGCGTTGCACACCATATCATACCATACCTTGTCATAACAATGATACCACATCATAACACACCGTACCATAACCTAGCAACCTATAACACAATCAACCATACTATATCAGACCACACCATAACACAATATATCATAATATGCCATATCAAGTCATACCATAACACATCATATACTACAATCACATAACGCAACATACAATACCATAACACGAAGATGAGGAATGAGTGAAGGACTCGATGCGGTCGGAGTCATAATACTAACTCATCCTTTGCATATGGGGAACGAGTGAATCTGAGCATCAGTTGTCTGAGTGAGAGCGAGTCTGAATGTGAATTAACTGGGGTATAGTTGAGTGCGAGTGTCAGTGAGTCTAGATATGCGAGAGCCTGTGTACGAGTGGGTCTGTGAATGCGTAGATCTGAGTATGAGTGCGTCTGAGTGAGAGTGAGTCTGAGTGTGGGTCAGTCTGGCTGTGATTGAGTATGGATATGAGTATAGCGGGTACGAGTCTGAATCTGCGAATTGGTTTGAGTGAGAGTGAGCCTGGCTGCAAGCGAATCTGAGGATCTGAGGGTGGGTGGGTCAGGGTGTTGGTGATTTTGAGTGTGCGTAAGCCTGAGTGTGAGTGCGTCTGAGTATGCGTATGGTGAATCTGAGACCGAGTCTGAGTGGGTCTGCGTATCAGTGAGTCTGAGGGTGGGTGGGTGCAAGTGTGAGTGAGTCTGAGTGTGCGCAAGTCTGGGTGTGAGTGAGTCTGAGTATGGGTATGATGAGTACGAGTGTGAGTATGAGTGAGTCTGAGCACGAGTGAGTTCGAGCATAAGTGAGTCTGGGACATCCTCACAATCTGGCCCCCCTGGGGCGCGGAATCCAGTGCCTCGCCCGAGACATCCTCAGAATCTGACCTGAACGCAGACGAGCTTGGCCAGCAAAACAGGCAAACCTTGAAAGACATCCTCGCAATCTGTACTCCCAGGGGTGCAAAAACCAGCACCTCGCCTGCGACATCCTCAGAATCTGCTCCGAGAGCGGAGGACGTTGGAAACCAAAACAGGCACCCCGCTCGAGACACCTCCGCAATTTTGGCGCGACCGAAGGAATGCAATACCCTTTGGCGGCCTCCCTTGGGGGCGAAAACCAGCGCCTCGCTCGAGCCATCCTCAGAATCTGCTCTGAACGCGGAGGATGCTGGGAACCCAAACAAGCACCCCGCTGGAGACATACCCGCTATTGTGGCGCGAACGCAGGAGTGCAATACCCCCTGGCGGCTCACCCGTCGGGCTGCTGAAAACCGCGCCTCGCTCGAGACATCCTCAGAATTTGCTCCGCCATCCTCACCATCACCATCACCATTCTCCTCCTCCTCCTCCTCCTCCTCCTCATCATTATCATCATCATCATCATCATCATCATCATCATCATCATCATCATCATCATCATCATCATCATCATCATCATCACCGTCATCATCAGCATCATCATAACCTAGCCTAACCTCACTTAGCCTAGCCTAACATACTATCATATAACATGTAATGCCAACACCAGGATGTCACACCATACCATACCATAGCATAGCATCCCATACCATCGCATACAATACCATACCATCAAATTTCATAATCATGTCATACCATAACATACCTTAAGCAGCCATAACATACCATAGCAAACCATACCATATCATCCCATACCATAACACAACATATCACAACCTGAGCAGGAAGAGGTGCGGGGATTCCTGTGGGCGTTCTCGGCGCGGTCAGAGTAATTATTCACTGCGTGGAGCTCCCCATATGTGCATTTATTAGCATGGACCTGCCCGCCAGGAGTGTCTAGGCGCGAGAGTTTTCGAATACAAGCGGGCTTGAAGATTGACGTTCTGGGAGTGAACCTAATTGCGAATGACTTTGAGTGTGAATGAGTCTCAGTAGTACGAGCGCGCCTCTGCGCATGACCCTGGGGCCTCCTGGGGCCTCCTGAAACCTCCTGGGGCTTGCTGGGTCCTCCTGGAGCCTCTTGGGGCCTCCTGGGGCCTCTTGGGGCTTCCTGTGGCCTCCTGAGGCCTCCCGGGGCCTCGCGTGGCCCCCTGAAGCCTCCAGGGGCCCCCTGGAGCTTCCTGGGGCCTCCTCGGGAGGATTTGTGCCCCAGGAGAGGCCCAATCCACAGGAACAGACGTAAAGCACTTCGGATTGGAGCCACAGGAGAGGGGCAATCTATGGGAACACGCGTAAATCACCAAGGACTCGTGCCCCAAGGGAGGCCCAATCTATACAATCTATAGGAACATACGTATAACACTTAGGAGTGGCTGCGTAGGGGAAGGACAATCTATAACAAATGCATGAAACGTAAAGAACTCGTGCTCTATAGGGACATACGTAAAACATCGGGGATCGGAGCCACTCCTGTGGCCTTCTGAGGCCTCCTGCTCCTGGGGCCTCGTGGGGGCTCCTGGGGCCTCGTGGGGCCTCCTGGTGCCTCCCGGCGCTTCCTGTGGCCTCCTGTGGCCTTCTGTGGCCTCCTGGGGCCTCCTGGTGCTTCCTGGCGCCTCCTGGTGCCTCCAGTGACCTCCTGGGGCCTCCTGTGGCCTCCTGGGGCCTCCTGCGGCCTCGATACCTCCTGGGACTCCTCGTGGCCTCCCGTGGCTTCCTGGGGCCTGCTGGAGCCTCCTGTGGCATCCTCAGGAGGAGCCGTGCCCACGAGAGTCTGGCCAGCAAAACAGGCAAACCCTTCGAAACATCCTTGCAATCTGCGCCACCAGGGGTACGAGAAACAGCGCCTCGCTCGAAACCTCATCCAAATCTGCTCCGAAACCGGAGGATGCTGCTGGGAACCCAAACAAGCACCCCGCTCGAGACATCCCCGCCATGTCGGCGCGAACGGGTCAGTGCAAGACCTCCTGGCGGCCCCCCCCCCTTGGGGCGAAAATCGCCTCGCTAGGGACATCTTCAGAATCTGCTCCAACAGCGGAGGATGTTGGGAACCAAAACGAGCACCCCGCTGGAGACATCTCCGATATTTTGGCACGAACGGAGGAGTGCAATACCCCTGGCGGCTCTCCCTTGGGGCTGCTGAAACCCGCGCCTCGCTTGAGACATCCTCAGGATGAGCTCCGCCCTCCTCCTCCTCCTCCTCCTCCTCCTCCTCCTCCTCCTCCTCTTCCTCCTCCTTCATCATCATCATCATCATCATCATCACCACCATCACATCATCACATCATCATCATCATCATCATCATCATCATCATCATCATCATCATCATCATCATCATCATCATCATCATCATCATCATCATCATCATCATCATCATCATCATCATCATCATCATCATCATCATCATCATCATCATCATCATCATCATCATCTTTATCATCATCATCATCATCATCATCACCGTCATCATCATCATCACCATCACCATCATCATCATTATCATCATCATCATCATCATCATCACCACCATCAGCATCCCTACCACCATCATCGTCGGTATCATCATCACCACCATCATCGTCGTCACCATCATCATCATCACTATCATCATAACATGATACGACATTGCGTACTTAATACATTTCACGCCATAACATAACATACCACACGAGACCATCAATACCATTTCATGACATGCCATACCATATCATATCATACCATACATCTCGGACCATAACATAGCAATGCGTATCATAACATATCATACCACAGCATGACATCTGAGTGTGACTCTGGGTGAGGAAGAGGAGGAGGGAGGTGAGTGGGCCGCCTCGGCGCGGTCGGAGTAATAATGATTCACTGCGCGGAGCTCCCCATATGTGCATCTATTAGCATGGACCTGTCCGCCGTGAGCGTCTAGGCTCGAGAGTTTTCGAATCTACACGTGTTTGAGTAGTGACGGTCTGGGAGTGACTCTAATTGTGGATGAGTTTGAGTGTGAATGAGTCTCAGCAGCACGAGCGCATCTCTGCGCATGAGACGGGGGCTTCCTGGGGCCTCCTGAAACCTCCTAGGGCTTTTTTGGGGCCTCCTGGAGCACCTTGGGGCCTCCTGGGGCCTCTTGGGGCTTCCTGTGGCCTCCTGAGGCCTCCTGGGGCCTCGCGTGGCCTCCTGGGGCCTCCTGGAGCTGGGGAGGATTCGTGCCCCAGGAGAGGCCCAATCTATAGGAATAGACGTACACGAAACATTGCGGAGTGGAGCCGCAGGAGAAGGGCAATCTATAGGAACACACGTAAGACACAAAGGACTCGTGCACATATGGGAGGCCCAATCTATAGGAACATACGTAAACCACTTAGGACTGGATACGCAGGGAAAGGACAATCTTTAGAAACATACGTAACACACGAAGGATTCGTGCTCCAGGTGAGGCCCAATCTGTAGGAGTATACGTAAACACATGGGATTGGAGCCAATCCTGTGGCCTTCTGATGTCTCCTGCTCCTGGTGCCTCTTAGGGCCTCCTGGACTCTCTTGAGGCTTTTTAGGGCCTCCTGGAGCCTCCTGTGGCCTCCTGTGGCCTCCTGTGGCATCCTGATACCTCCTGGTACCTCCTGCGTCACTGCACCGACCTTGCAGACGTGCTGCAGCGGATTTTTGCGTGGATTTCTGTCAATGCAGAACTCCGAAACGGCGAGCGAAAAACGACGTGAATTTCACGTGGGTTTCTTTTAGTCTTCATTCCCAGCCCATATTAAAAAAAAATCCACACAACATTATCCCTAACTCCGGAGCGACATTCTCCAGGACACTCCGGGCTCATCCTATTGTTTTCCAAGCGAAATTGGCGCTATGACCTGTGGCCTCCCGTGGCCTGCTGGAACCTGCTGGAGCCTCCTGTGGCATCCTCAGGAGGATCCGTGCCCACGAGTCTGGCCAGCAAAAGAGGCAAACCGCTCGAGGCTTATTTACAATCTGCCCCCCCCCCCCCCCCTCCCCTTGGGGGCGAAAATGGGCGCCTCGCTCGAGACATCTTCAGAATCAGCTCCAACAGCGGAGGATGTCGGGCACCCAACTAGGCAAACTGCTCGAAACATCCCCGCCATTTTGGCGCGAACGGAGGAGTGCAATACTCCCCGGTGGCTCCCCCTTGGGAATGCTGAAACCCGCGCCTCGCTCGAGACATCCTCTGAATTAGCTCCGCCCCTCCTCCATCATCATCATCATCATCATCATCATCATCATCATCATCATCATCATCATCATCATCATCATCATCATCATCATCATAATCACCATCATCATCACCACCATCATCATCATCATCATCATCATCATCATCATCATCATCATCATCATTATTATCATTATCATCATCAGCAACAGCAGCAGCATCAGCATCACCATCACCATCACCATCACCATTATCATCAACATCATCGTCATCACCATCATCATTATCATCATCATCAGTATCATCATCAGCATCAGCAGCAACATCAGCATCATCATCACCATCACCACCATCATCATCATCATCGCAGCACAACATCCCATGGCGTACCACATCATTTCATACCACGCCATGCCAACACACCATACTATACCATACCATGTCACATCATAGCATGGCATTTGGGACACGCCGTACCACACCACAACATTTCAAATCATGACATTTTATGTCATACCATAACACAACATGGTATGACATGGCGTACCATCGCATACCATGCCATACCATCCAAACTCATATCATACAATACTCTAACATATCTTAACATCACATGGGGATGAGGAGGCGGATGAGGAGAGAGTATGAAGGAGTTGGCGTAGTCGGAGTACTGTCAAGGCCCCCATCCTCTGAATATGGGGAATAAGAACCCCATCCTTTGGTTATGGGGACTAACAAGAACCCCATCCTTTGGGTATGGACACAACAGAAGTTCCATCCTCTGAGTATGGGGAATAAATATGTCCGACGTCTAGAACACAGCCGTGCAAAAGAAGAACGCAAACATAATCCCTGGGGGGGTGGGGGGGGGGGGGGGGGGCGGGGGGGGGGGGGGGGGGGGGGGGGGAGGCAGAGAGGCCAGGGAGGCCATGACCAGGGGGCACAGAGCCAAGGCTACCATTGAGGCCGTGGCAGGGGGAGGGCAGGGGAGGCCACGACGACGCGACGACACGACAAAGATGAAGCAGTCTGAAGCCCTGGGGGGCGATCCAGGGAGGCCAGGGTGACCAGGGCAGGGGGGGCCACGGGCGGCCACGGGGACCAGAGCTACCAGGGAGGCCAGGGCAGGGGGGCCACGACGACGCGACGACACGATGACGAACATAGAGCAATTGACGACGAACATGCAGATGTCCGAGCTCCAGGCACAACTGTGCAACATGAAAACTGTTCCTCCTGTAACTCTCCCCTCTCTGCAGGACATCATCGCCGAGAGCTGGGAGTTGGGCTCCCACATCTTCCAGCGCGGCGACCCCGTCCCGGGCTTGTACTGGCTGGCAAGGGGCGAGGTGCCCACGTGGAGGGAGCGGTGCGGGGGGTGAGAGCTGTTTTTCAAAGAGGAGGAAGCGTCGGCGGCATGGTGGAAAGGACAGGAAAGGTGACGGCGGGAGGGG